CGCCCTGAGAGTCCACTTAGTTCCTCTGAAGCTGAGCCACTGCCGGTTCATAGACCACGCTGGACAAATGCCTTTCCGATGAATTGAGACGGCAGAGCTGACCCCACAGATGCAGGGGCCTCCACTGCAGACTCAGCGCCCCTCCACACGCCTGCCTCAGCCTCGGGACACTTCCCTGCTGCTCTTTGCCACCCCATTGCCCCCAAGCCTTTGTCTCCACTGTAAACCTTTATCCTTTTAACACGCCACATCCCTGGCTTCTCAGGCAGTGTCCTCTAATTAAAACAGGCCCATCTTGTTTTCCCAGGGCCCTCAGCCTGGGTGAGTGACTCACATACCCTCTGACAGCTCTCTCTTTAGTGTGAATGACTAGGAGGAACTCCAGGACCAGCTTCTCACACTTGTGTGTGCAGTGAACCAGGAGCTTATGCTGACCACGAAGTTTGGAGCCTGCCCGTCTAATCCTGTTTTGCATGTGACAGCAATGATCTAGAACACTTGCTAAAAAGACAGTACCTGATCTTTGCCTCTGGATGCTCCAACTTTGAGTTGAGGTTCTAGATATGTAAGCTCTGTAAATACTCATCAGGGATGTCAGGGGAGGTGCTCCTGCAGGCCCAGGTATGTTAGAGGAAGGGGAGGGGTATAAAAAGGAAGAGGAGTGGGCCGTGTTGCCATTGCTGGAGGTCTCCCAGCTTTTCCTGGGCAGGTACAAGTCGAGCATCGGCTTGTCCAACATAGCTTGGTTGTGGAATGCCCTCTGGGCAATGAAGGAATGGAGAAGAGAAAGACATGGGTACAGAAAAGCTGGGATCTGTTGTAACAGTTCGTCACAGTTCTAGAGTGTGGGAAGGCCAAGACCCAGGCGCCAGTAGATTGACGGTCTGCTGAGAGATTGTTTCCTGCTACTAGTAAGAATTCTTCCCTCTGCAGCCGCCCAGTCAGAGTGCAAGCTGAATTATGCCATCTCTGAATGATTTTTTTTTTTAATGAACACTATTCCTGTTCACAAGAATAGAACAAGCCCTCTAGAGCAGCGGTTCTCAACCTGTGGGTCATGACCCCTTGGGTATCGAATGACCCTTTCACAAGGGTCACATATCAGTTATGCAATATCAGATATTTATATTATGATTCATAACAGTGACAAAATTACAGTTATGAAATAGCAATGACAGTAATTTTATGGTTGGGGCGGTGAGGAACTTATAAAGGGTCACTGCTCTAGAGACTCCTTCTTCAATCTCAATACTTTTTCATGTACAAATTTTGGAGGAATACAAATGTTCAATCCATAGCAATTGATATATAATTACAGGACAAGGTTAAAATCAAATTCCACAAAGCTTATAAAATATAAATTTTTAATACTCATTTAACAACGTGATGGGTAAGTAGAGGACGCTATTCTGCAGAAACTGCACGGCCACATTAGTTAGTCGGTCATGTTTGATTTTATAATCTAGCCTGTTTTTACAAATTACAACCGACAATGTCTGTGAGCAACAAGACTTCCAGCCTCGTTCGCAGTTCAGCAGAAGCCAAGTGCCTCCCTCCTGCCAGCGAGGAACGCTGGTGTCATTTGAAGGTATCAGTCTGTGTCACGGGACCGTCATAGTTAAAAACACGTTTGTAAATATGTTTGGGGTTTTGTTTGTTCTGTAGACCAGGCTGACCTTGAATCCGGAGAATCGCCTGCCTCTGCCTTCGGAGTGCAGGGATTAAAGGCGAGAGCCACCACCACCAGGCTCTAATTTGTAATTCTTGTAGAGGAGCTCCAGGTCTTTGAGCAACTGCTTAGAGAGGCTGTGTAAGCTAAACCATTTTTTTTTTTTTTCAATTCTGTCACAAACAAAGTGTTAAAGGCTGGGCAAGTTTCACAGCCCTGGCGTCTGTTCCTCCTACCGATGTTGCTGTCTCACAGGCTCCTGTTGAAAGCTAGGTGGGGTATTTGAACACATCCACACCCCTCGCCTGGTTACCAACGGGAAAAAACACCGTCTCAAAGGCAGAAACAAGCCACTGGAGATTTGCACCCAAAGACTTTAAAGGTGCTAACCTGTCATCCACCGGAGCGGAGCATCTTATGTGCTTCCGGGTCCGCCCAGAGAGGCTCCTAACACTCAAAAAGTGCTGGTCAGGAGGAAGCTGAATCAGGGCATATAAATTGCTCTCTGCTGCCCTCTTGAGTGAGTAGCTTGGGTTGCATTGGCTGCTGCCTAGACTGCAAGTGAGGAAAAGCTGTGCAGGCCATTTAGAACGCCCTTGTGGGCTCTTCCGCGGGACAACTGTCGTGCTGTCTGTGTGAGCGCGTGCGCATCTGCTTTTGCCAAGAGGTTGAAGAGGGAATTCGCACTTCACACCCTCGCCGGCTCCCAGTCCCAGCCCCTTCAGGCCTGCACAAGCTCCTCGTATTCTGAAGGAAGCCTGTCTGCCTTTTATTAGTATTTGCATCAGATCTTTGAACACCCTTGAAACCCTGGCGCTAAATAATCAGTGTCTTGTTGAACCAGCGTTTTTTTTTTCTTCTTTTTTTCTTTTTTCTAACTTGGCACTCATAATTGCAGCATTGAAAAGAAAGCAGTTTCAACTGAGCGACATGGGGTGAGAAGACCCAGCCGGGCTAGGGAAGACTACATGAGAACCTCTGGTTTTGCACACTGTTTGATCCCATCCTTCTTAATTTTATAATTTGCGCGATGTTTTACAATATACATATGTGTAGGCTAGTATAGGTATATAATTTATAAATAAATATGCATATGTAATGGAAAATGCTAATTGCATTTCATTTATTTTGCCGATGAAGGAACGGACCATTATAAAACCTTAGGGAGTATTCTAGAAGAGTGTTTTAGTCAGGGTTCTCTAGAGTAACAATTTGTAGAGTGAATAGTCACATATGCATAGAAAGGGAATTTATTAGAATGACTTACACGTTACGATCTAGCTAGTCCAACAATGGCTGCCTATGAAAGGAAGTTAGAAAATTTCAGTAGTCATTCAGTCCACGAGGCTGGGCGTCTCAGCTGGTCTTCAGTATATGCCCAAATCCCAAAGCAGGTTCTAATGTCAGTGAAGGCATGAACTCACCAGCGTCTTCCATGTCCTTATCTAGGCTGCCAGCAGAAGATGTGGCCCAGATTCAAGGTGGCGCTTCCCACCTCAAAGATCCGGATTAGAAGTGGGTCTTCCCACTTTGAGATTTAATTAAGAAAAATCCTTCACACGTGTGCCCTGTCATTGGGGTTTTAGTTAATTCCAGATGTAGTCAAGCTGCTAACCAAGAATGGGCATCACAAGTCCACCCCTTCCTTGTCAGTTTGATGTACAATCATATCTCCTTATGCCATGCTTAGCTTCCAAATGAAAACAGCAAGCATATCGTATGCCTTACATGATAAAACTACCCCATGTATACTCACAAACACATTACATATTTAATCAGGTTGTAATTACATCTTCCTCCATCCCTCACCCATTCCTTCCTTCTTTCCCTGACAAGGTCTTCCAGCTGTGTAACCCTGGCTGCCCCTCAAACTTGTCATCCTCCTGTCTCAGCCCCCCAAGTGTTGAGATTAAAGACATACTTAGAGGATAGTTCTGATATGGTCCAACATAACATTATTATTAAAATATTATAAGATGGTTATTGGATTTTGTTTTGTTTTCTGGCTTGGTTTTTGGTTCCTGTAAGTTGGTTGTGTGGTTCTTGGATAGGAACTTTGTAGATGACGTCATGCTGCCATGCCAATGGCTTGGGTTCACCAGGTAAAAGCACCTGTCACAAAGACCTAGAGTCTGAGTTAGAGCCCTGGAACTCAAGGAGAAATGGAAGGAAAAGACAAACTCTACAAAGTTGTTCTTTGACTTCCACATGCTCACCAAGGTGGGCATGCATACACATACACACACACACACACACACTCACACATACATATAGACACATACTCACTCACACCATACACACATTCACACACATACATACCACACATACATACGCATACACACACACACACACACACACACACATACTTAAAGGCTGGATAGCCCTGACTATATTATAGTTTTACAAATTCGTGAACCTAATCTATATGCAATTGTTCCCCACCTTTAATAATCAGATGTTGGGGGTGTGGCATAACCCTATCAAACATTTAAGTTTCCTGTGAGCAATTATACTCTGCAGAAAAGTCTTACCTAAAGCTTTCTTCTGCGTATCAGACAATGTGCTTAGGACAGAGTCTCAGCAGTGAGATGTCAGCACCCTATGGAGGTCTCTACAGCCTCAGCAACTGTGTCAAAAATAAATCACCCTCAGTTCTAGGAAGGGAGGCCCCAGCTTAGGGAGCAAGGGCTCATAGGTCTGTGACCTGGCTCAGTGAGACTTACATGCAGTACGTCTCTGATTGTGGTCTCCTGCATTTCTACCACCAATGACTGCGCTGATCAGGGTCTCTAAGTCTTCAGCAGTCTGTTGAATACTCTCAGCATGAAGCAGAGCTGCTAACGCCTAATCCCTGGAGAATGGCGGCAGGCGAAGCATTCATTTCATCTTTACTATGGTTCAGATTTGATACGGCAGAGGACTAGAGCCTGGGAAGAGTTCCCTGGATGCGGAGAACTTCTTTTCTCATCTGTGGACACAAGGGCAAAGAAAGCTAGGTTGGGGCTCACGAGGTCGCACAGCTGCCAGGCTTCCGGGAAAGGCTCAACCATGCAGGGACTGAGGAGGCCGGCCAGTGGGGCATCTCAGGGTCAGGTGAGCATGACTGTCTGCAGAAAGGGGTGCAGCTGTGGCTCTGACTCAGCCACCTGACTCTCTTCTTACTGGGCCAATTCACCTAGTGAGACGAGGCTCCCTCTTGTCTGGCCTGGGAACACCTTACATACTTCTGGAACTATGGTCTGCATCTTGCCTTGATGTCTCCAGGTCTGCTCTCATCAAATGTGCACACCCTAATCTAGTCTTGTGGCGAGTCAGTTCTGCAGATCTGGCGTAGAACTCTGAGTCTTTATTTCCTTCCATAGTCTGACATGGGAAGTCTAAAAACCACGTCATAGCAGAAGTATCCCCCACTAGTCAGAGACCGGAAGACAAGTTTGAGGTCACCGACACCTGAAGAGTCAACCTTGGTGGCTCCTGTTCCTTTAAGCCTCTTGCAGCTTCATCATTACATCTGCCAGAGAGGCCCTCATTTATTTCACCTCTGGCTTCCCAGAGGGTGGGATAGGAAACCATATACAGGAAAACCGCCACTGTCACTATGGCTAATACACGTCATGACTGAGAAAGTCACGGATGACACTTGGCTGGTGACCACTGTATCTCACTGGGGCCTCTGTAGTGACTTGCTTTCTTCCATGTCTGTGTATGACAGGTCCCACCAGAAAATGTCTCGTGACTTCCTGTGTGGCATTCTTTGTGCTTGGAGCGGCTGCCATAGTGATCGCTGTTGGGATCACCTTCGGAATACCGACGAGGTCTGCAAGTATGTGTCAGCACACACACATGTATTTACACTGCATGTATTTACACTGCATGTTTGCACACTGGGTGGACTTGCTGATGGGGAGTGGATGGTATGCGCTACGTGCCAGCCATCAGCCCTTTTGCACATCCTCTCGCTCTCCTCCATTCTTGCAATGTGCCTGTTAGGACAGTTATGACCGACACTCGGGGAGAGGGGATAACTTGCCTTGGATCATGTAACCCTGAAGTAAACAAGCCAGCATTCTAACCCAGGTCAGTCTGACTCTGAAGCGCACACAGGATATGGTCTCTACCTTCAAGAAATCCCCACTGTAAATAGGGCAATGGGAGGTGGAATAGCGTATAATTAGAAATTAAATTAGAGGGAGATCAGCGAGGACTGGTGATGACGGGACGTGGAAATGAAAGGATTGAAACCGGAGCTGAGCCTCGTAGGGAACCCCGAGTTTCGACTGTTTCAGGGACATAAAAGACATGGACTTTGTCCTGTGTCAGATCTGAAGTATGTGAGGAAGAGGTATGAAAAATAACCCTGAGACTCCAGACCAGATGTGGGGGTGCAGGTGGGCCACAGGTTCAAGTCCGCCGGGACTACATAGCAAGACTATCTCAAAACCAACCAACCAACCACCACCACCAACAGCAACAACAAAATGTGGCCTGAAGATGGCTCAATGGACAAGGACACACTTGTTGCCAAGCCCAACGCCCAGTCCTTGAACCCCACGTGGTGGAAGGAGAAATCAAATCCTGGAACTAGTTCATAGCACCCACACGAGTGCTATGGCTGACAGGGGCACACACGCACACAAGAACACAAATACATAAATGTGAAAGAATTCAAAACCAAGCCTCACAGAGAGTAGTCAAGAGATGGGTGTTGAGTTAAAAGAAAGCTGTGGTCGAGCACCACACAACGGTTGCAGTTATGTGCGCGTGCACACATGTATAACCAATACTCCCCGCCCACCTCCCAGCACGAGACTTTCCTCTGCTGGGCTGGGCTTTTTCCTGTTGCTCATTTGGGCAACTCCTAAGGGGTTTAAGACCAGACTCAGATGTCCCCAGGATCTCTATACCGGACAGTTCCAGCTGTTAGATTCTGGACCCACCCCCTGCTTTCTCAAACAGCCTAGTGAGGGGCAGCCCTGCAGAGACGCTAGAGTCAACCCATCCTGTAGGATGTGGGACTGCGCTTCAGTGGGAGACCCTTCACACGCTGGCCTTCATTAACCCTGTCTCTCCAAGGGCATACTTGCATCAGGGTTTAAGTTTCCCTGCCTGTGCTTGACTCCGCCCTTCTCCTGCATAGGGATTGCTCCAGGTACTATCTCCCTACCACAGAGTCACGTCTCATCCCGTCCTGGCATCAGGTTTTCAGAGGGTCCAAACTGATACCAATTCCTTCAGATGACCAGAGTTAAGGATTCTTGTTTCTAAAGCTACAATGTCACCACCTATTGGATCTGGTTTTATCTGCCTCTTAATTGTTCAAGATGAAAGTGCACTCTTATCAAGCAAACATCAAACCAAGTACCTCGGATATCCCCCCACTCTGCATAGCCGAAAGGGATTATGGGGGAAGACACAACTATGCTGAGATACAAGTGTCACCAATGTTGTGGAAGATTATTTGAACTGGGCAAAGGTGTGTTACATTTGTTCATGCTGTGGAACATTACTAACTGTGTGAAGGTGTGCTACATTTGTTTCTGCTGCATTTGTCTAATTATGTAAAGATGCGTTGCTGTTTCAGCTTGCCTGCCTAAGGCACCTACCTGATTGGTCTAATAAAGAGTTGAATGACCAATAGCTAGGCAGGGAAAGGACAGGTGGGACTGGCTGGCAGAGAGAATAAATAGGAGGAGAAATCTAGGCCAGGCAGTCACCACAGACGTGGAGACAGTAGGAGAATAAGATATATAAAAATAAAAAAGAAATAAAGAAGAAAGAAAAGAAAGGTAAAAAGCCCTGAGGCAAAATGTAGATAAAGAAAACCAGGTTTATTTAAGTTAAAAGCGCTAGCTAAAAATGAGCCTAAGCCAGACTGAGCATTCATAATTAATAAAAAGTCTCCATGTCATGATTTGGGAGCTGGTTGGTGGCCTAAAAGAAAATGTCTGGTCCACATCAGTATTTCTATAGCTTAATGAAATGTTTAAAAAGAGCTTTCCCTTTCAGATAAGTAGATTCTGTTATATTTTGAAATACTATCATTTGGGGGCTGAGGGTGTAGCTCAGTGGTAAAGTACTTGCCTAGAATGCAGGAAGTCCTAGGTTTTATCCCCAGCACTACAAACATGAGGCCTGGTGCCACAAACTTGTGATCACAATACTCCAGAGGTAGAGACTGGGGATCACACTCATGGTCAGTGACTGAAAGGTCAGCCTCAATATCTTCATGGGTCACCATCATCATCAGTCAGAGGCTAGACTGTAACTTACTGGTTGATCACTTGCCCAGTATGCGCAAGAACCCAAGTTCAATCTCCAGGACTTCCAAAAAGAAAAATCTCAATTTAATTTTACTCACAATAAGACCATGAGGTTGACAAAGTTATCTTTGTTCTTACCTCAGCTAAGAAAATTATAGGATGTCTTTCCTATGTGTAATGTATCACGAAGCTCATACCAGAAACCAGTCCTGTTGACCTCTCATCTGCCTGCTATTACCTCTTGCCGGGAGTGAGTCTACACTTGTTTGCCAGATGCTGGTTTTTTTTTTAAAAAAAATTATTATTTTATGTGTGGGGGTGTTTTGCCTACATGTTTGCCTATGTAGCAGGTGACTGCCTGGCATCTAAGGAGGCTGGAAAGCATTAGATCCCCTGGAACTAGAGTCACAGATTTTTGTGTGCTAGGAATTGAACCCAGGTCCTCTGGAAGAGCAGCCAGTGCTCTTAACCACATCTCTCCAGCCCAATGCTAATGGTTTTGAGGGAAAAGGAACGAACTGTCAAGTTAAAAATAGGTAGGCCTATGCCTGCAGAGTTTCGGAGGATGGGTGGGAAAGGCCCGAAGAAAGGAGAAGAAACAGTGGGAACAGTGGCACAAAGCGGGTGAGCACAGGATATCCAGCATTCCTCTGTCTTTCAGGTTGGACATATCACCAATGCGAAACAGCGTCACAGCAACCAGGCTTCCTGTGTGGGGACCGCACGACTTGCTTGCTGCCCTCTCTGCTTTGTGACGGCAAGATGGACTGCAGCGATGGCAGGGATGAGTCGGCCACCTACTGTGGTGAGGACTAGTTGGCTGGTTTTAGTCTGTTACTCTTAACTTTTCGGGGGGGGAGGGGGTCCTGCTACCCAGTTCCCAAATAAATACACAGAGGCTTAGTCTTTCTTATGAATGCCCAGCCTTGGCTTGACTTATTTCTAGACAGCTTTTCTTAAATTATCCCATCTACCTTTTGCCTCCAGGCTTTTCTATTTCTCTATTCTATATTCCTTTCTTTACTTTTTACTCCATGGCTTGCTATGTAGCTGGTGTTCTCTCTCCTTCTTTCCTCGTTCCCTGATCTCTTTTCCCAGATTTCTCCTCCCACTTATTATCTCTGCCTGCCCATCTAATCTCTCTCCTGCCTCGCTATTGGCCATTCAGCTCTTTATTAGACCAATCAGGTGTTTTAGGCAGGTAAAGTAATACACCTTCACAGATTTAAACAAATGCAACATAAAAGAATGCAACACATCTTTGCATCATTAGACAAACTTTCCACAGCATAAACAAATGTAACACATCTTTAATTAATATCCCACAACAGTGGACAGATTACCAAAAGTAAAGAACAGTGCCCGGGGCTGGGCAATGAGGTGCATGCTTTTAATCCCAGCCCTTGAGAGATAGAAGCAGGTGGGTCTCTGAGTTCTAGTCCAACCCCAGCAAGATCCCTGTCTTTAAAGTAATAGTAAGCTAAAATTCAAAACTACCACTTAAACATTTTCATGAATAATTTTTCCATGAGAAATCATTTATTTGTACAATATAGGCCAAGTGCCCAACAGTCTCCCACAAAACCTGATTTTCAAGTGTGCCGGCCAGAAGACATGGGTCTATGTGGACAGGGTGTGTGACATGAGGAATGACTGTGGCGACTGCTCGGATGAGTCAGGTAAAAATGGAACCCATAGCTGATCTTTCTAATGGGTTCTGGGTGTGGTCGCCCTTCCACTTCAATTACATAAATGAGCTCTAACTTAGAAACCTTCTAAAGGTGTTTTTTGTTTTCTGTTTTTTTTTTTCCTCCACAAACTAAGAAATTCCATCATTCCCTGGGCTTCAGGGAGCTCCAAGGTAGAGAGCAGGCTTAGGCAGACCAAGTCGTTCTGGCTTCCATTCCTAGACCCATCACCAAAAGCAAATAAAGAGGGAGAAAGGGAGAGAAGGAAGGTAGGAGGAGGAAATGGAGGGGAAGGGGGCGGGAACTATATTATTTCGTTAGTTCATGTCTATTTGAAGTGGATAAGTTCTCCAGCAAAGAAGTTGACAAAGTTAGTTATTCAGTAGGAAGCTCTTGTATGCTAGCAACTTTCATTTGGATTTCTTTGGCAATTTTGAAAGATGTACGAAAGATCTGCTCAATGCTTTCGTTCCCAGACTTTTTCCTCCTCGCTTCCATCCTTGTCTCCCGTCACGGCTTGACACTGAGCTGAAACCACGCCCACTTTACAGGCGGGCAAGGTCCCAGCTGGTAAACACAACTCCGGAGCATGATGGCTCCAAATGATGCACGGGAAAGCTTCACCAGAAACAGAATGGACAACCAGCCCTTTGCCGGTGGTGGAGGGTAGAATGGAAATTCATCCTTGTAGTTAAGGAGAAGTCTGGCTCTGTAACAAAGGGATGAAAGTGTAAAGAGGGCCTTTGCTTCTGGCTTGCTGCCAACAAGCAAAAAGGCCTAGTTCTCCTGCTGACTGATGGCCCCAACTCAAGGGGACCCTTCCCTGTTTATGCAGCATGTCAGTATGTTTAGTTTGGGCTGATGGGGAGAGGCATATCGTCTCTGGCTTTTCAAACTATGCGTAGAATCTTCAATAATCATCTGCGGTTTTCCCATGAGACAGCTTCGCTAACATTTTTTTAAACCTGAAGGGTTTTTTCTTGTCCAATAGCATTTTTCCCCCTTCCCGTTGACATTTTAAGTTATGCTTCTAAAAACAAACACAATTGTCTAGTTTCACAGTGCCCGGAGTGCTCGGGCTGGAGATGCGATACTGTTTTCTTCGCCGACTGTGCCTGCATTCCCAGAAGTCGCTGCAGAAACGGCGTCCAAGACTGTGCTGACTGGAGTGATGAAACCCTGTGCGATTAGATTTATAACCGTGGTTTTAGAAAAGCTGAAAAATCTCTGCCTTACAACTTCTCTCAAAGTACTGGTGTGTCTGTCTTCTGTGTTTACCTCCCTGGAGTGTAGGGTAGGGAAGAGCTAGAGAACCTGTGCCCATTAACAAAGAAGACAGGCAGAAATCAGATGCAGCTAAATTTAGGTCCCTCTTCTAAACTTGTTTCCAGATAGCCACAGGGTTGTGTGGGAAGCACACACGTTCTCTAACTAGTAGGAGGGTCACCCTAAGAACTTTTAGAGGGAGGTCTAGCTCACTAGTGGATAGCCCTGGTTTCAAAGCTAGCAGAAAATTAAGTTTTGAAAATTATTGTTTTCAAAATTGAAATTTATTGTTCTTAAATTAGCACATAAAGTATTAGACATCGTGAAGGCAGTTTTCGAAGTGTTTTAGCAGCTAGCCTCCACCCTTTGTAACTTGCCCTGTGGTCCCTTCCCATTTGTACATGTCCTTCCGTCCCCACCTCCCCCTTCCTCAGTATCTCTTTACCCTCTCTTGGTCTGTTTTCTAGTCTTTGAAGGCTTTATGTTAATACTCATTTCTATATTCAGGTATAGAGTACAAGCTAGGACCTGCATATTAGACAATACAATGTTTTTGTCCAAGGTTGGGTCATTTTGCTTAATGTTTTCTAGAACCACCCGTTTTTTCTGGGACTCTTTACAGGGGAATAAAATTTTATTGAGTATCCACACCACAATTTTCATTATTCATCTGGGAATGAGCACTAGGTTGGTTGTTTCCTTGCTTTTGTGAACACAGCAGTAATGAGCCTTAATGTACAAGTATCTTGGTGGTCAGATAGTTCTCTGAGTACACGTAGGAATAGTATAGCTGGGTCATATGGTGATTGTTTTTTGGAGAAACACCCTTACTGAGTTCCATAATGGCTGTAGTCATTTGCACTCCCACCAGCCATATAATTAAGGGTTCCTTCCTCTTCCCTACATCCTTGCCAGCACTTTTTGCCAAGTCTCCTGAAGGCAGCCATTCTGACTGGATGAGGTGCTACCTGTAGTTTAGTTTGCATTTTCCGGGAGGCTGGGAGAAAACCAGCCCTAACCACGGCCAAACAATCATCATCAAAACAAGAATAGTCTCTCCTTTACCCTGCCAAGGGCTAAAATCCCTCCGAGTGGGGAGTGTCCTGGGCTTGAATCCTACTTTACTACTGAAGTGGGTGAGACTCACTCCGACAATTTCATCTCTTACAGATATCTTCATCTACTCATGATCCTCGTTAGGATTTTAGTTATTAGGAAACCAGTTGTGCTGTCCTTCATCAGTAGTAGCTGTGGAAATTACAAACACTGTGAGGATACGGCAGATTGTGCTGCTGACACCAGTGCCTCCACAACTCCATGGCCACCCGAGACAGTGCTGCCCTGTGGCTGATGTAATCTGTGGTAGTTATGTGCATCACTTCCCAGCCTAAGCTTGAGGAGTCAGCTGGTGACGGCCACCTTTTCTTTCGCAAGGCTGGCAAGGTTCTAACTAAATGCTGCTCCTGCAATAAAGTGGAGCAGCAGCAAATGTGATGAACCTCTGGAGCAAAGCTCTTCCTTTCCTGATAATGGAGGCTATGAAGGGAAATTCATAATTGAGCCATAGCTACCAACACACTATATATGAACAATCAGCAAACGATTGTGGGGGTTAGGACAGAGCCAGCTGGAGACCTTTCTATAAATCTAAATCACATCACAGCCAGTCAGAAGCCATCTCTACAAATTCAGGGCATGCCACTACCACCTAAGTGTTTGATTCTGAGCTAAATCAAGACTGTTTCTAACTAAAAAGCACATTACCCAGAAATACAAACCCCAGTTTAGCTATTTCATTTGCTTCAACTCTAAAAATGCATTTTCCCAGGTAAGAGATTTATCCTATTTCCTATGCCAGAATCAGGGAGTGCCCCATCATTGGGAAAGCTGTAAAGCCATGTGTTTATAACCAACCTGACCCTTAAGTGTCTGGAAGTCACGAGGTTATTTTTTTTAGCTGTTGAGACTTCAGGACCCTTGTCACTGTGGCAGTCTACCCAAGGGAGGACAGAGTAATTCTACAAGTCCCTACCAACTTTACATTTGGCATAACTAACTCTCCACAGTCACTCTGGGATGCAGCACAGAACCCTGAAAGGGAACTGCAACTTAAAACCATCTCTTAATAGTAAAGGCAATCCTCAGCTCTCCTCTGTGCACTGAAGTGCAACAGCTGCTACTAATTCATTAGTCAAGGGAACTTGCCCGGGATGGTGAAACTGGTCAATATTCTGATTATGGTGGCAGTTACAGTGTATGTTAACATAGAGCCTTTAGTAACAAAGTATCAGTTATACATATGAAATGGAGGTACTAGTTGCTACCACATAAACTTAAAATGTTAAAACTGGGCTGGAGAGATGGCTCAGCAGTTAAGAACTGCTCTTCCAGAGGACCCAGGTTCCATTCCCAGCACAAACATACATGGAGGCTCACAACCATCTAAAGTCGAGTTTTCCAGGGATGCAGTTATCCTCTTATGAGCTCAGCAGGTACAGGCATGCACACAGTACACATAAAAACACATAATCTTTTTAAAAAAGAGAGATGCATAAAGATACTATATGGCTTACAATAAACACCACCAAGAGGAAAAAACTCTGGCTTATGCACACAGTTTTCCTAGCACATCCACCACATAGAGAGCATGAAAGCCATAGGGTCGATGAGAACTGAACTCTCCAACACACCAATTGTGGAATCTCACCAAATGCTATCAGTATGACCGCACACCATGATCAACTTTCTATAGACAACTGTTTACTGTGTCTATAGAGCAGTGTCGAGTAAATAACAATAAACCACATACTAGGCAAAGAATTTTATTAACCCTTTTCCAAACTTTATTCCCAGGCTTCTTCAGCTTAATTTGCTGCAAAGAATGAATTGTGTTTAAGCAAAAACTGAAAAGAGCTGCAGTGTCCAAGGGGCTTGGGCTTAAAAATATTAGCGATCTAGATTTGATCAGATCCATAAACAAAAGACCTTTAAAAAGCAGCCATGATATAAAATAGCAGCTCCTGTAACTTCTGCAAGTGTCGCTTCTCCAGAAGTCGCCTCAGCTCAGTTTGCCTCGTTCTTAGAAGCCTCATCAAAATTCTCCACCAGATCTAGAAAAGAAACAGTAGACATTCTGAAAATTAGCCAATTCTACAAAATGACTTCAGATATTTATGGAAACGATCTCAAATTTAAATCCTTGTCACCTCAAATGAGACCACGTTGGCATAGTAAGAGTGTGGTCTGGCAAAGCTAACAGAGTGAGCATCATGTTCAAATAATCTGTTTATCGCTCATCATCCCTCAATTTAGAAACTAAAAACAATCAATACGATCAATATAACAGAACTAAAGACTACCATGACACGATCAGAGTCTAAGGTTTCATGACATCTGTCTATAGTGGAAAAATGGATGGATTTTTTTGTTCTTCCACATGACAAGAACTCAACATAATTTAGTTGGACATGGTGTCACATATCTGTAATCCCAGCATTCAAGAGGCTGAGTCAGAAGGTTCTGAAATTTGAGCTACATAATGAAACAATGTTTCAAACAAACTATAAAAGAGAAACATTGCTAACACTAGGAATGTAAGCTCCTGCAGCTCCGTGTTTCAAAGCAGCTCATATCTTGCTCACCCACAATCACTGCTGTAACTCACCACCACCACCAGCCTGGAACTTTTTCTGTAAAGATTCATTTTTCTCCCTTGCCAAAGTGATTCTTACCTGGGACTTCATCATCATCATCCTCTCCAGTAGCAAGGGGTGCTTTTCCATCCACAGCTGTAAAAGAAAAATGAAAATGTAGCCAACCTATTTCTGTTTTGTTTTTTTTTTAAATTTTTTTTTTCTGAGACAGGGTTTCTCTGTGGAACTTTGGAGCCTGTCCTGGAACTTGCTTTGTCGACCAGGCTGGCCTCGAACTCACAGAGATCCACCTGCCTCTGTCTCCCGAGCCGGATTAAAGGCCACCACCACCCAGCACCAACCCATTTCTTTAGATCAATAAACGTCAATCAAAATGAAACACCAAGTTACAACCTGTATTTGTGATGGCAAGGGACACCCGAGGTTTCAACCTATAGTATCATTAACATAAAATTTTGATGGACACAAACAAATTACCAGAACACAGCTAATACTAACTCTGGATACAAAACAGTGAGAACACTGAGCATAGGGAGTGCTCAGGGTATAGATAAAACCACACACCAAATTAAGGTTAGGTTTATTTTGAGAGGGCAAATGAAGAGGTCAGTCATCTCCCTAAATATTCTGTACATGGTATAAAGCCTCTAAGTACTGAAATAAAATAAATTAAAAAAAAAGGCCAAATACGGTGACTCACACCAACCACCACAGAACTTGGAATGTAAAGGCAGGACTACAGTGAACTCTAGGCCAGCTAGGGCTACATGGGGAGACCAATCTCAAAAAACCATGAAGCGGAAGAACAAGAAGCAAAAGGGCCAAATTCAAAGTGACTTTCAACTGTTAAGTAACAACTGTTCCTCTTTTCTTCCCCCTCTCCCTTTTGAGATAGTAGGAAGTATACTCAGGGCCTTGAATAAACTAGTAAGAACTCTACTACTGAGCTTCACCACTCAGTCTATAATAAACAAATAAATAAATGAGATGCTTTAATTTGCCTATGCTTTTAACACAAAACATGCTTCTATTTCAGCCTCCCCAGTGGCTGGCACTGCAGTCATGGGCCATCACACCTAGGCCACTTTTATCAATCAAACAGGTGAGTTCTGAGAGCCAACAGTTCTAACCTGCACAGCCACCAGTGGAAATTTCAAAAGCTGATCTCAAAGTCCCAGATGGCCTAAAACATCTTGATGCCCCTCCCATAACAATAAAAGCATAAAGTGAGTCAGCACCTAACAAAAACAGCTGAGGAAGTAGCAAGTCACAGAGTAAACTTCTTGAGCTGCTTCTGCATTCATATTCTTAAATTTCTAAGCAAAAAAAGAAAAAGAAAAAAAAGAAAACCAAACCAAAACACAACACAACAACAACAACAAAAAAAAAAAACAAAGCAAACAAACACCGAGCATTATATTGTCATACCACCTATGATGGCTAATCTTGGTTAATTCGACACCCAGGGGGAAGAAGGTACCTCAAAGGAGGAATTGCCTCCATCACATCAGCCTAATGGCATGTCTGTGGGGTATTTTCTTTATTGCTAATTGATGTAGAGAGATCAGCCCATTGTAGGTTAGTGTCATCCCTGGGCAGGTTGGCCTGGGATAAGAAAGGCCATCCAGGGTCAAATGGTCAGCCCTGAAAACATACATGTAAATAATATTACACATATCGAGCAGGTTATATTTAGGAATGTATAGGTAGACAGACACATATCCATGTAACAATGATAAAGGCTGTGAATTTGAGCCCGGGAGTGGCCAATATAGCAGCATTTCTCCATGGTTTTTGCCTCAAGCTCCTGCCTTGGCTTCCTTTGATAATGAACTTGTAAAGTGCAATGAAATAAAAATAAATCCTTTCTTGGGGGCTGGAGAGATGGCTCAGTGGGTTAAGAGCACTGGCAGTTCTTCCAGAGGACCTGGGTTCAACTCCCAGCACCCACATGGCAGCTCACGACTGTCTGTAATTCCAGTTCCAGGGGATATG